AAAATGCTCAATCAACATGGTTCACTGAAATGATTATGTGTTGTTGAAAGATGAAGCTGAGTTTAATGATAAGTATTGAATGTAGTTGATTAGGTGGTATGATTGAATGTGAGAAACTGCACTAAGTGTTTGGTCAAGTGGTACATGTTGCTCGGTTGAAATGTATTGCTGAATTTAACAACATTGAAGATAATTATCATATTTGTATTGTTTGTTTGAATCCTCTCATTAATATTTTGAACTTTGATTGATCATTCTGTTATTAAAATATATATGCATCTTCTAAAGATTGTCTGAATGTTGACTTATGTCACAAGCATTGTAATCGAAAATGTATCGCGGCTAGTTGCGGAATCGATTTCAGTGCCAAACATCAATGGGAAGATTCAATAATCAACACGAAGATTAATCGAATCATCACCCCATTGTACAAGTTATTATGGATCTGGACTAACTAGCCTAGTGTGTATAATGGGTCGTCGTTTGAAGTGAACAGTGCTGATATCTAGTCTCAGAATAAACATCACCTTTTAGATACAGGAATATCCAGCTGACAAGTCCTAGATAAAACGAAACGTTCGTCTGGAACTGCACTGTTAGTTATCATTCTTTGTTGGTTTGAAAAATTTCTCTGTTGCCTATTTGTAATTTAAAATATGAAATATTTTTTGTACTAAATTCTCCACGCGCGTCAAAACACAAAGCGGGCGAAAAACATGGAGATTAAATTCATACTCACGTAATAGCGTAAAATAGGTTTTAGTAATATATATGGCTTTTTTGTTTTGTTGAAATAAGAAAAATAAAAATAGAAGTATATTAGTTTTTTTGAAAAAAAACGAAAAATTATATATAGTACAAGGGAAAATCGAGATGATTTAAAATGTCAACTGGTATCTCACGTGCAATAATCGTTCAAATGTTCTGGAAATATTACTCTTCTTCCAGAACGCGTTGTTTTGAGTTTATTTTTGGATACCGTCGAAGTGTCAACGTGTGTATTGGCTGTCGATTGAGGTAGTATAAGTTCAGGAGTCGTGTCATGCGATTGAATTGAAGGAAAATCGACTTGAATAGGATTTCCTTATAAATACGCTGCTTTGAGTTGACCGATGCTGATGCTATCGTTGGTTTCGTTCTTATAGATTATATAGTACTTAGGTTCGCGTTGAAGAACTTTGAAAGGTCCTTCGTATGCTGATTCGAGTGGTCATCGATGTGAGTCTCAACGTACGAAGACGTGTGTACTATATCATAAGTCAAGTTGAATGAAAACATCAAATGATTGTGCTCGAGTGGAAACAGGTTTAACTGAGCGCATTGCGTTTGTAAGCCTGTTCGTTTAGGGGGTTAGATCCATGTTTATGGAAGAGGATGAAGGATCCACGAATTCTTCTGGAAGTCGAAGGGTCGTACCATAAACGTGTTGAGACGCAGTGTATCCAATGTCAGCTTTCACTGCATCGCGGATACCTAGTAAGACGAGTGGAAGAGCGTCAGTCCACTGAGAAATGTTTGAGGCTGATAGTGACGCTTTAAGTTGTCGTAGGTGAACACGTTCTACTAACCCGTTTGCTTGTGGGTGGTAGGCCGTCGTTCGGAAGCGAGTGATTCCTAATTTTGCGGTCAGACAACAGAAAAGTTCAAATTCAAACTGACGTCCACGATCTGTAGTGATTGTTGTTGGGCAGCCGAAGTTTGCCACCCATCTGTTATGACCTTGGTTTGTCTACCCACTTTTGGTGCTGAGGATACTTGTCTAATCTAGATTTAGATCTTGATGCGATAGGCTGATCGGCTTAACCTTGAGACTAGTACGCGTGAGTTCGAGATGGGGCAGAGAGAAGAAAACTATTCTGTCACCTGATTGGTGGGCAAGCACACGGATGAGAGAAGACAACTGGAACACTACTCGATCTATTCCTGACACCACTGTCAGTCACTGAATTCAGATTAGTGTAAAAAAGTACATGAATAAATAAGTGAATAACCCGACCGCAACGTACAATAATTAGGAAAAATACAATTATGTCCAAAGTTCGGAATTACAGTAGAAAATAGGGTGTAAAAACGTTTTGCTTAAATTACAATAGCTTCGGAACAGAAAAGAGTATGGCAGTGAATGATACATCGAACGAAAGCTTATGTTCTGTAGAATAGATTAGGGGCAAAAATAAATGTCAGTGTTTTACAAGCTTTGAAGGAAATGAAATAACGTCCCGAAAAATAGCCTTCGTAGTGTGTCAGGGCTTCTTGTTTTCCGGTTCACATCATCTTCCCCCTTGACAAAAAATGTTATAACTGCCATTCAACTGAGTGCATAAGTGAAACTGGTTGACGTTGCAATCCGTGTAAGCGTGACCAATTTGATTAACTGGAATAAATAAAAAAAGAAAATGATTAGTCACTAGTTACAAGTATTAGTTAAGATATCATCGTTGATATCTCCCCTCAGAAACGTATGCTCTTCTCTTCGGGTCCACTTGTAGAATATCTGGTCTTCTACGTTTCCGTAATGATCTCCTAATAGGATCTTGTCCCGGTTGCACAGTCTTGTGAGTCGTTGAACTTTTAATATCGGAACTGTACAAGAAGATTTGTCACATTGAGCTCAGTTTTTCGGTTTTCTGTGAAGTTCCAGAATTTTCCAGTATGTGGTTGACATAACGTGTCCACTTTTGACCTTCAAATTCCACCACATATATTACAATTCCTCGTCTCTTAAGTATGCGTCCACTGGTCCATTGTAGTGGTGAGTATCTGAAATCACGGACGTATACTCTTTGGTTATTTTGGAAGATTCTATTTTTCACCCCATGGTGGCGAATAAATTGGATCTCCATCTTTCGGTTATATTCGCCGGCTACGGTTGCCGTTAACCCGTGCCGGCTTGGAAGCTTTCCGAAACATTTTTCGCGTCGACCGATTTTACGTTGGGAAAATTGCAGGGCGGACTTTCCATACTGGTTATGATACCAGCACCAGTCAGGATTATCCGTCTCTTGATGTCTAGAGACAGGTCGCCTTCGTGATGTGCTTCTTCGCGGGGTGTGTGACCGTTTACGGTCGTTACGAAGTTTGAGATAACGCGTAAGCGTATGACACAACTTTGTTATGTCATTCTGGGTCGTTTGAGGCTTTTCGTTCACTGAAAAAACCTTGGCGGTAGGAGATTTAGTGATTTCGAGGATGCGGTCGACAGATGCATCCATCTCGTCTACGGAGTTGTTTTCGAACGAGACCAGCACAGCTCGCACCTGTTGAGGAAGTTTTGATAAGAAAAGTTGTTCGAACAGGCCATCATCGAAGGTTCTTTAACCAACAACTTCTCTCATTCTTTGAAACATGTCTGTGGCAGAGCCGTGTTGCAGGTCGATGTTGTTAAAGAGTTGGTCTAACCTTTGTCGATCGGTTAGATCTCTGCGTTTAAGGATGGCATGTTTCAGGGTTTGGTATGGATCAGTAACATCACTAGTAAACATACTAGGTGTTACGTACCTGTTGAATTCGCGCGGTAGTGCCTTGACTACTGTGAGGAATTGTGTACGTGTGTCGTTCACACCGTGCTCGCAGAAGTCGGCTCTGCATAACAGAACCAGGCTTCGATGTTGTCTGGCCAGAAAGGAATAAGTTGGAAGGAAGGCGGGGACAAAGTCTAATATGAAGCGTACTTACCCAGTGAAATCAAAAGACAGAACCGAGGAGGTTCGAAGATATATTTGATAAGCTATTAATATATCGACGATCGTTTGCACTAATCTGGCTAACGATTGCGGCAGATGTTGAGCATGGCGTTCCCACACGTGATGTAGTGCGGATGCTTTACCGAGTGCCTTCAGCTAGATGAGTCCATTAAAACTGTGGTCAGCATCTAATGTCGAAAACTTTCAGAGCTATTAATTTTGGGGATTTATTTACCGCTACAGTGCTACTCCTCTAGTACGTAAATGACCTTCCTCGCCTAATATCATCGTCGGTCTTGCTATATGCTGACAATGTGAAGATATGGAGAACGATATGATGTAAGGGTGATAGCTTGGAACTCCAAAATGACCTGAAGAAATTATCTGAATGTTCTCATACCTGGCAGTAGCCGATAAATACTTCCAAGTGTGTTATGATGCATATCGGTCATCAATGTACAGATACATACACGATGAGTAACACTGAGCTACATGTAGTCCAGACACATAAAGACCAAAGAGTTATCGTTAGCCAAGACTTAAAGACTACTGTACACTGGCGTGCAATAGACACCAAAGCTTTTAGAACTTTATGGTCAATACGTAAGTCTTTTACTCATGTCGACGCTAAAACGTCTTTGACTTTGTATACAGTGTTCGTACGTCCTAAACTTCAGCACTGGATACAAGCGGCTAACTACTGCTTAAAAAAGAGTTAGCTTTTGAAAAAGGTTCAGAGAACAACAACTAAGCTGATTCCCGGAATAGCGAAGCTTTCAAATGATGCTAGACTGGTCAAGCTAAACCTATTACCGTTGTCATATCGTTGAACTAGAGACGAAATGATTACAGATTTAAAACTGCTTTGTGATAAATTTCAACCTGATATGCCCTCACTTTTCTCGTCTTCCAAAACGGAGAATTTGCGAGGACACTCCAAAAAGTTCACAAGCCCAGAACAAATTCCTTGTCAGCTGACTACCGACTTTTCCATCGAATCATCAACGAGTGGAATTCATTAACTCAGCACGTGTTTGAGGCTCCATCCGTCGACTCTTTCAAAAGAAAGTTGGACCAACTAAGAGACCACCATTGCCAGGATTAACACAGGCCATCAAGCCTCCTGTCCTTCCCAAACTGAAACTGATAAATGACGGTTACATTCACCAAGTGAAACGAAAATATAGGAACGACGATGCCTAATGCTCTTTATTACAAAGTTAAGAACTTAAGAAAATTTTAATTCGCGGTTTTTGTTATTTGAAAACTCTCTTTGTGTGCGATTTCTTAAAGTCCTCTACTTTTCATTGCATGAAGATTAAGCGCACTTATTAAAAGTTTTTTCTGTAAGTCGCGCATATTGTGCTTTGTTCTGGTTTCGTGTTACTTTTGACATACGTTTCATTCATTTCTGAACTGTAGCCAGGCATTACGCTTGTTTGATCAACATTGCTTAACTGAGTTGAAAAGAATAAATCCTATCGTCTATCAGTCGGTGGATTTTTTCGTTTTGTTGTCGATTTTGCGAATGATTTGTAATGTACTCAACTCATATCTTTTTCCGAAGTCTTATATTTTCACTCACTGAAGATTTGTTGATGCACACTAAATATTCTCGGAACTTATCAGTTTTAGTCTTATAACGCATCCGTTATTACACCGTCGTCATGATGGTTGTTACTTAAAATAGATCATAAAATTTGCACTATGAAGCAGTCACACCATTTTGATAGACTTAAAAGGGTTTAACACTGCAAATTAACGAGATATTGAAATAAGAAATGTAGATTTGGTCGTAAGTGATGTTGACCAAAATAACAATGGAACAGATATGAATTTATACAGGTAAGAGGCTGGAAGTTAATAAACGAACTGATTAATTGCTTTTAATTGTTTTATCCTAAACTCTAGAGTTTTCGAAGTCGTCCTTTCTCTTATCAGCGCATCAATAACCTATTTACTATTTTGCCATAGTATAAATATAGCCTTTTCTTCATGTAACATATTCATATTTATCACCACTACTGACATTAAGCCATACTGATGTTATCCGTGTGTTTCTTGGTCAGTCCCGCTTTATTTACTGAGGGTATTTTGTCTACTGGTCACACCAATCCTGAAATCGTCCAAGGCAAACATTTTCATGGATGCTAATTAATTGTTCGATTGTTCTCATGGCTGGGAATTTGAGAACTTGACTTGTACACCACATCTTTTGTTTACAGAAATATAATCCGCTAACTAGGTCACGAAGTCAGTATCTGCAAACAATAATGGTTCCATTTAATTTGATGAAATTCACCTATAATATCTGAGCAGTAGTATATTACGAATACCACTGCAACTGTGTGGTACTTTATTATGGATGAGCAGTCTTTTGGTCTCTTATGTTCACAAAAATAATCAAAATCCTCAATCAAAGCCGGTTAACCACTTTTTGTGGGAGTTTGTGTTTTACCATTGTTCATCTTCAGAACTAGATTGATAATCATTTGGCTGTATATGAGAACTTTAAGTTTGTAAACTTTCATTATTTTGGGTCAAAAGCCGATGATAACTAGACAGCCGTTGACTATAAATTCTTAACATTATCTTCAGTCATATTTAGGACTTATTAACTGCATATATTTAAACCAGTGCTAATATCCACATTTAAATTCTGACCGATAATATTGCTCAATTAGCATAATATTCACAGACACTTTAAAGCGCTTTCGCTGTCCTATCTTATGCCAATTATGTTTTTGCCTAGATAAGCGTTGTGTTTTGTAAACTTAAAACTGATTTGGTGTCAAACCTCTTTGTTCTTCACTTTATCTAAGTACATAGGAAATACCGTCCATTTTTATTAACACCTGGATGTTTCTTGGATGTTTCTTTATTGTAAATGCATTTCTCACTTTCGATCACTTGGGAGACCTGTTGTTTGTTCATTTAATTAAACGTGATACCAGTAACATCTTTTAAAAACACTACCTAAAGTGGAAAAAAGTGGACTATAGGTAGTTAGAAAAATAACGAGAGAGTATATCATTTTGTTGATCACAAACTAAAAGCCAAGATGCTAACCAAAATGTCATTTTTTGAAAACATAGGCAATGTTTGCTCATTGTATAATGATGTTCACAAACTCATGAAAGTTATGATATGTTAGTTGATATCTATCTAGAATAAGCAGAACTAGGGTTAGAATGGTGTTAAAGACTTTAAACAGTGCGTTGTCTAAATTTTCAAATCTCACAGAGCTAGTAAAAGACCTAAGTAAAATGTCGGGATACAGAGATAAAAAACAAAAGACAGATAAAAGGGAAGCAAATTTATAGCAAATAAGTTGTTTATACTTCGAAAGCATGGAAAACTAATGTATCTTGGATGACCAGTCGCATCTTGTTAAAGTAATGTGTCATATGGACGACACACAATAAATTGATCTTCCTAAAGATACTTACTAATTGATACTTATCATGGGACATACATTCTAAACTTCGAATGCACCTGGAGAAATCGTAAGCGGTAGTTTAAACCTTACTATATCCCAAATGTTGGTTAAAAAACACTAAATTCACAGCCGTCTTGTTGGCTATTTATCTCCCTGTGAAGTTTTCACAAACGATCACAACCAGGAACCCCTGTTATACTTCATTTTTCTTATTGAAAAAGATTAGTAAATAATATTGTAATAGAATGAGCTCTAAGTTTTCGTAGGTTTTGAAAAAACTAGCTGAGTTTATGGCTTGTATTCAGTTTGATAGATAAAGAATAAGTGGTTTATATACAGGTATTACTTATCATGAAAGATATTAGTTAGTGATAATTTAGAATAAGCAAAAGTTGTCTTATGGACTGAGATGAATCTGCTACATGATGTTGTAATCCACAATTAGTCCAAGTTTAAATATGCACTCGAATCATTTATCATAGAAAAGATTAATTGATTTCTTACATACTTATCAAAACGATTCATCTTCCTACATAGTTTAATCATCTTCATTTTACCTCAAGTTTACACAACTTAATTAATTCTAAAGTGTTTTCTGATTCAATATCAATGCTGTCTAAAGTCTCGTACAAAGAAGAATCACCTACCCTTTTATTTTGATACATTATTTTCTGTTATCATTGTCATTAATATGCATTTTAAACATTAGCAAGATGTAAGTATAGTTTATACTGAGCATGTTGCCTAGGAGAACAATTAATGATTCACTCAGGTTGAAGAACGCGATTCAACCGAAAAAGATCTATCGTTTGTACAAATCACTCATGTTCTTTTCTGTTATAATGTATTCATTACGTATAAAGGAAACACATTTGTCATAAAAAAGATCAGCTATACGTATCACAATAAAGCTTTTCTATTAGTTTATATCTCATTTTAAGTATTTAGTTAATACGATAAAATATGACCATTATTTTTAACTTTATTTTATAGCAACAAATCTCATCTTTCAACATAATCATTTTCACATTATATTTTAATCACACATCTGTGGGAGACGGATATTATACAACTTTTGTGAGAAAATACATATTGTTTTTACTTATTCATTTGGAAAGTTTTATAATCAAATAAATTTATAAAACTGGCTTCACCTAACACAAATCATATGAAGAAAAGGTCAAGTGGTGAATACAGTCCGGGTAAGTAATGCTTTTAAGCAATATTTATCTACTTACATACGTTTGTATCTATCTATCTATCTATCTATCTATCTATCTATTTGTCTATATATATATATATATATATATATATATATATATATATATATATATATATATATATATATATATATATATATATATATGCTATAAGTCAAATTGATTGAGAAGCTTTAATCGTTGATATAGAATTTTGATTGTAAGATGTTTTTGATGATCACTGTATGCTAATATCTAAAGTATATTGTAAACCACACCATAATGAAAGTTTCTAACTAGTTAACTCTACAATATAATTTATTCGAGTATCATTATATATTCATCTAATGTGTTTTTTTTTGAATTCCATGTGATCTGATCACTAGTTCAATGTTCTAGAACCTTCTCTTCCATACTTTATTTATTCGAAACAAAAAAAAACAAACAATTTTTATGATCTCATTAACTCTAACGGAATCTTTGTTACATCATGATACACACATATGTTCATCTATTAATCACCTTCTGATGTATAAGAGTATGTCAATATCTATAATAATGTTGAATTTCAAATAGTTTAAGTTGTAAGCAGTTGATGAGAACCTAATGAAATAAAATGAATTCATTTATTATTTTGCACTAATCTTTATTGTTGATCCCTGGTTGTATTGATACTTATTACAATAGGTTTAATAGTAAAAATATCAATGATTTTTTTTTAATGAGTAATAATACTAAGTGCCAAGTGTATAGTGATTAAATATACCATGGTTACATAATTTTCAATATGACTTCCCTAGGTGATTAGTTTAATTAATTTGATAAAACTATCATAACTAAATATCATAATACTATATTTTTTTGAAATTATAATTCATTTTACAGTGCTATTCCGTCTGTTTTCATTTTCAATCTGTTTTGTTGTGAATGAACAGTTCAATAACTAGACTGTTATTATTATTTCAATGGATTTATTATTTATTTATTTATTTGAACACATAAATGTTGGTACAAGGGGGTAACAGATACATATGCGCCACACAAATCTCATTTTATTTGTGAGAGGGTTGTAATACTGCCCGAGTGTGCAAACCGAAGCAGGTGGTTTTCTTAGGGGGCCACACCCGGAGCCTTTGACTTAAAGGTCTGGTCCACAAGGCAGTGGAGTATCGTAAGGACATTCAGTCCCATGGCAGCTGGTGACCAATAATTGGCTCATATGCCATTTGTTCCCTCAGGGTACTGGAGCTCATATGCACCATTGGTTTGAAATCAGTGTTTTCCAACTCCGCTGGGTGGGTTCCCTGTGTCTACCAATCTAGTTAAAGAGCCGGACATTCGCTTTTCGTCCTCTCAATTTCGTAAACAACGCCGTAGGACTTTCCTGGTAGAAGCTATATACACGTGGTCATGTGAGAGCATTTAGAGAGAGTGAGCGGATCTCACGCATTCTTGGCCGTACCATGACATTTGGGAGCTATTATTTAAATGAGAAAAGAATTACATCAATTTCACTACTCAGATGAAAAATAATGGATATATCTATTTGAAATTATAGAGGTGAATGTCTTTTTACTGAATCGATCAGTTTAAAGTCATATGGTTTGGAGATTTTAGTTATTCGTTCAATTTGTTTGCCCAACTGCCATAATAAATCAAACAATACTTTGCATGACTTATGATACATATCTAAAAAAAATAATGACTTAGCAACATGTCATTATATAACTGTGCTAAGATAATACGTGTTCTTATTTGGACGTCAGTTGTTTAAACACAATCAGATGAATTTATAAATGTAATATTCATCATTATTTATGTCATAGCTTGTGACCTGTATACCCTACTAATGTATAACGTAACGATACCGCCAATTAGAGAGTAGTGACTTATCGATCGGATCAATGACGCGTAAACCTGTATGAACTGTCTAGAGTCCTTATCGGTCCTGGTTCCTGCCTAGCCCAGTCAGTTAAGTCCAGAACACAAATCTCAGCCTCTACATTATGAATCATATGTTTTAAGCATATTGAGTTTATATACCGATCAAACAAGATTTAGTCAAATGTGGCTGTGAATGTGGAAGGTAGTGATTAATAGACTGGGCATAATTCAAGAATGATAAAACGTATCATAATGGTTCATAGATTAAAATAAGGCTCATAATCAGAGAAAAATGAACATGAATAGGTATAATATTAGTCCATAAATAGTTCCCAACCGTTACCATTCATTATACTTATCGGGGTATAACAATTTAAACGAATAGTTTGATTAGTATCAACAATTAAGAACATAATGGATAATAATCTGTTTACTATACAGAACATTGAATTTATTCAAATCATAGTAACTAAGATTATTTTAAATGTAATTTTTATAAACAATTAGATAAAGTTTCATGTTCACATGACAAACGTCTTATGTACTAGAAAACTTACAAATGGTATCCCCTTTATTTTAAACACTTTTTTTTGTTGTAATTGCATAACAATAAAACAATTAAAAAAAAAAGTGAATATATATTTTTTCTTTATCTAAAGAAGTTAACTATCTTCCCATTTGTTTCCATCAGCAAAAACCAATATCACCCCTTCCTCCCCCACCCCACCCCGCTAAAGTAAATTTCAACTTACAATTATGATTTATATGATTTTTTGTTTTGTAGTACAATGATTTACACTTTTTTATAAACACTTAAAAAATAAAAAAAAGAAGGGAGATAGAAAAAGTATTAGGATGAAATGTTTAACTCATTAGAAGTACAAATTAATCAATAAGCAAAAAATTGGAGTATCATTTAACAAAAATGTAATTGTCCATTAAGTTTTTTTTTGTCCTATTTAATAAATAAATGAATGAATTCATTAAATATTTTAGAATTTTCTTAATTTTATATGGAAACAAAAAATAAACTTAGTTTAACTAAATGTTACTTGTCAGAAAGGAGCGGTGGGGGGAGAATTATGTGGAGATTTTTTAAGAATTTCAATAGTGGACAATGATGAATCAATTGAAATTAGACCATTATAGAAAACCTAGTAGTATTGGATGGCTATTTCATCTTATTGTGGGACTCCTTGACAGTACGCATTCACGATCTCGCCTCCCACTCCTGCGAGATTCGAACTCATTTCGATACGAATGAACATATCCTCACTAGTGACTGGTCTTAAGATGTATATCCTGGAGTTTCAGTTAGAAGCAGTGACCAGTGGAGTCTAACCAGGTTTGAATAGTGTTGGGGATGATTTGGAAGAAAGAAGGAGATTACAATATAACAGCGTCATTTAAGCGATGTCAGACTGATCTTAAGTATGTCTAACTAATAAGCAGGACGAAATGAGGGTTATAAACCTGTATGAGGAATTAGAATTATGAATCGCATTTAGTAGTTAGCGTTACGAATTAGATTTATAGTTTTCATCAGGAACTGACATCAGCTATAATATCAAAACTTTATTAAGCCAGATGGATGAGTGAACTTAGCGCTAAATGTGATTGATTCGTCCATAAATTATAGTCTCACCAAAGAAAGTTATGGGCGGTCAAATCAAAACATGGCATCAGTGATTGAAGTCACTAACTTCTGGTCTGAACAGTGTTGGTAGATGCAGACTACGTGGTTCAGGTCCACATGACTATCGTAACTAATAGTTGAAGACTGTGGGTGACATGGCTGAAGATCAATCACAGTGGCGTCGGTGTATACACTCTTTTAAACTATGAGATTAAAATCGCTTCATATCTTTCTTTCTATGAACTAATTCATTCTACCTGTATCATATTCGCATATACGATTCTTTTTTTTCCTATATATTACTACCATTGAGTTAAATGCTTCTATGAATTTGGTGTTCATCTTGTTGTGCTAATATAGTGTGATAACTTAGACTGATGTATATATGTGCCTTATCCTACATTGTAGTTGACTGACTGATGATTATAACATAGTAACTCACTGATAACAATGGCGGATGTGTCGCTCAATTTCATGGATTATTTGAAATGAGACATTAACACCGATGGATGACGGCCGGCGGTCGCACACGAAACTGATAGATCTTGGATTCGAATCTCATAAGGCTGGATCATAGATGAACACTCCTGAGCAGCCCCACAATAAAATAAAATCTTCATCCAGTTCTTCCAAGTTTTCCATGATGATCTAGCTTCAATTAACTCATAATAATCACATTATAAATATGTTCCATTTAATTGAGTTCATGTTCAGATCTTAATTAAAGTTAAACAAGAAAAAAAAAAAAAGAAATTAATTTGTTCTCAAACATTTTGTTTTAATCCGAATTAAATTAACTTATTGATTATTTTAATGAATTTTATAAACTAGTTAAAATAATAAAATCAAATCTTGACCTTAATAAAAGTTGATTATAATTTTGTTTTTATTATTTATATTAATGATTATAAGTAATATATTTCATAAAAGCTAAATAATGAATGTGATATAATTCAAAGAAAATAACTTACTTACTTACTTACTTACGTCTTTTACTCCTTCTGAAGGAGTATAGGTTGCTTACCAGCCTTCTCTATCCAACTTTGTCCTAGGCAATCCTTTCCAGCTCTTGAATTTGTTGAATTTTTTAGTATCTCGAAGGAAAGCTGTATTGAACTTTTATAGTGCTGTTTGTCCAGTTGTCCAGTTCTTCTTTAGCTTCAGTTTGAAATTGGTCATAACCAAGTGGTGACCTGAAGCTATGTCCGCTCCTCTCCTGGTTCTCACATCTTCCATTGTCCTTCGGAATGTTATATTGATGAAAATATGATCTATCTGGTTCTCTTTGGTGTGGTTCGGTGAGATCCATGTAGTTTTGTGTATACGTTTGTGTTGAAATATTGTGCCGCCTATGACCAAATTGTTGAATGCACTAAGATTCGCAAGTCTTTCCTCGTTTTCGTTTCTCTCTCCCAGTCCATGTAGTCCAATGATATCTTCATATCCGCTGTTGTCTATTCAGGTTTTGGCGTTTAGATCTCCC